TTTTTTGGTGGAGCCAAAGTCCCATCCCAGATTTTCCATGCAGAGCGTTGGAGGGAAAGCAGCAGGGCTGACATCAGCAAAGATGCAGTAATTGCAGGCCTAGGAAACCTCTCCTGCTGAAAAATGCTGCGTGTGTTGAATCCCTTGGCACTGCAGTGTAATCCTGAGCTGGGAGCTGCTGCCAGGCACAGGGGCTGCAATTTGGGGCAGAGGGTTTGTGGGGAGTTTAACATGCCAGGAAATGGAACATGGAAGGTTTGGTGCCGAGCCTTCCTCTGCTGCTCCACTCACCTTGTGGGATGGAAAGGTGACAGGGAAATTGGACTTGTCAGTGTCTGACTGGTCACTTAACTCTGCAAAGCAGTGCTGGAAATGCAGGAGCTGGATTCAGGAATTGGGAAGGGACACTGTCCTGCTGTCCTGCAGTTGGCAGTGCCAGGAGGGGTTTGGGGGGTTCTTCCTGCTGGGACCAGGAGCAGGAGTGGGGCTGCAGGGAGGCACAGCAGGGCACTGGGGATGCTGCTCAGGGAATCCATCACTGCTGCCTGAAGTGTTTCACTCGTGGGCTGTGTTCATGCTCTCTTCATGCACCTTGCCCACATAAAGGGAAGGGTTTAATGACCTTTTCTGACAACCACGCTATAAAGGAATTTCTTATTCCAGGGCTGGACCTGAGCACATGGAGCAACCCAAAACATTGTATTATAAACAGGGTTTATAAAGGGCTCTTTGTAAACTTCCTTCCCAAGATCATGGTCACTCAAGTTTATGGTCCTTATGGTTTACAGAAATGAGATCTGACCTTTGGAGCAGTGAAACTTCATTTTCTTTTGGCCTGTGCAGGTGTCCTCAGGTTCCTTCCTCAACTGCATAGAGATGGGAGGTGGAAGGGCAGGGGTGGAAGGGCCAGAGGACTGGGATGGCTGGGCCAGGGTGGCTCTGGGGCAGTTTTAGAAAGGTGAAATCCTCAAGGTTCCAGGCTGAGCTGACTCAACAGAAACAAATACAAAGGTAAATCCAAAACGATGAGCCAGAAACCCCACAGATGCTGTGCAGAACAATTGGGCTCAACCAGTCCAGCCCAGAGGGCTGTGGAAACTTTTTTCCCTCCCAACTAAAAGTGTGTGGGAATTTGCATTGCAGTCAGGTAATACTTAAAGTGCACATAAGCCATCTCATAAAAATTCCAGTGCTGTGTACGTCACACAGCTGGGTTTTATTAGAGCTGTGCTCTTCTCCTGACAGTGCCTGGGAGCTCAGACCTCCATTAACTCTGCCCTTCCTGGGCTGCTGCTGCTTCCCAGATTCCTGTCATTCCCCCACGCTGGATCCCTTCCCTGCAGGATGTGTTTCTTTCATGGCTTTTCAGCAGTTGAAGGTGGGAGCACCTGAAAGCTCTGCTTTGGGTCCCTTGAGCAGTAACAAGGAATTTCCTCCTTTCTCCCCAAAATCCCTCAGGCCTCTCCCTGCTCTGTGTGTGCTGAGCTTCCCTGAGCTCCATCTGCCAGCCTGGGATCAGGGGCTGCTCACAGGACACTGGGAAGCACTGGGTGCTCTGTTCATCCCCATTTGTGGGATTTTGTGGCTGTTCCTTTCAGCTGTGCCCCACACAAGGTTTGGATTTGCCACATGCAGCCCATGTTTGGGTTTTTAGTGGAGTTTTCTGATGGCTGGGTAACACAAGCTCTTGAGTAAATAATGAAAAGTTGTTACTCCAGGCCTCAGGAAATTGGATTTTTATTTCTATTTATTTCAGCTACTTTGAGCTTGAGTCAGTTCAGCTCACTTCATTATTGAGCAGGTCCAGGTCTCATTCCTAATGTGTCTCATTCCTAATGTGTCTCCTTCCTGGTAAACTGAAGTTATTTTGCCAGCAGAACCAGAAATTTCAAACCCAGTTAGTTACCCCTTACCCAGAAACACAAGACAGCTTGACTGGGCTTTACCAATCTGTGTTGATGCACTCAGAGGCCCTTGGAGACAGAAAATAGAATTTTTTCAGCCTCTGGTACCAAGCCTTATCAAGCCAGATCTAGTTTGCTGTTTAGCTTGGAACAGGAATGTCCTGACAGGTCTCTCTGGGAAGGAACAGCAGCAGGAATGTTATTTGAACTTTTCATTTCAGGACCCCGAGCCCCAGTCAGGCTGTGCAGGTGGGGGGACAGGGATGTGTTGGGATATGGGACACAGGATCCCTCCCCAAGGATGTGCAGCTGCATTTGGGACACAAACCCACCCTTGGAAAGCTGGGTGAGTCTCAAATAAGAAGAGATTTATTTTTTTAAGCTCTTTGCTCATTCTCCAGCTTTTCCACTGCTTTACAAAGGCATTTCAGAAATGTCCCAGAGCTGTGGAAATTCTGCAGCCACTTCTCAGAAAACCATGAGAGAATTATTCTGACATATGTTTCCATCTCCTGCTTTTTGCATTTTCCCTTCTTGTGTTTCTTTTTCTTTGACCTAGAACAAACTTCTCCATGCTTACAATTCTCACTACTCCAAAGAAATTTCACTGGAGTGTTGGATTTTCCCCACGCAGTGGAATGCTGTGATCCCAGTTAAATTGCAGTCTCCTTCCAGCAGTGTCCATGCTAAATGGTTTTATTATTTATTTATTATTTAAATTATTATATATTATTATTTATTAGCACTGTTTTGTGCTAAATGATGCCTCAGGGAGGGCCCTTCTCCTGGGCCCTCAGGAAATCAGGGACCAGGTGCTGTGGGGAGCAGCAGCTCAGCAAAGCACAGAGAACTCCAAAAACATCCCAGAGCTCTTTAGTTTTTTCTGGACAAACAATTTTATTTTCGGTAATGCGTCTATACACTGTACATTCAGTCACTGTGGTATATAAGCATAGCTATTTTCATACATAATCTCATAAAGTCCTTTATTTTACAATATTATCTGCATCAGGGGGAGGGGATGTGGAAAAGGGGGTGGAAAAGGACTATCAAGGTACACAGCGAAATAGATAAATATGCCAAGCTTTTTTCTTATTTTTTTTTTAAATCAGGCATTTATAAACAAGAAAGCATACATTACTTACATAAAAATAGTTCTAGAATAGTAGAGTAAGTCATAATATTGTCATTAGCAGCAGCATAGGAGAGACCAGGATAACAAAAATGTGCTGAAATGCTATTGGCTATTATAAATGTAAAGATTTATTTTTCTTCAATTGAAAAAATGTCATTTCTGTGAGTTCTTTCAATTAAAAAAAAAAAAACAAAACAAAACCAAAAAAACAAAACAACAACCAAGCCAACAAAAAAACTTCTCTCTAAAACACATGGACTGCCGAGAGAGCAGAATGGAACAAAACCCAACCTTTTGGTAATAAAATACTTTACAGTGAAAATAAGGACAAATAAAATGCAAATGATGGAGAAAAGGTTATAACCCACATTGAAAACTTGCAAAAAGATTTTGTTTTGTTTTTTTCCTAACAGACAGCAAAGGTTCTTCTCAGTTAAAAACACAACTCATAAAACAAGACAACTACCAGGTAAGAAAGAGTTTTGAAAAAGTAAACACCATATACACTTATAATACAACAGTGTAAAATGAAAAAAAAGTATTTACAAGTTGAATTTACTTTTAATGTTTTTTTTACATTGGCTAGTTCTGTTTGAAAAGCAGAATATTATGTATAGAGTTAGCTGCTCCATAGATATGAATGTTATTGCTGTTGGTTTTTTTTTTTCCCTTCGTTAAGTCTTCGTTCAGTAATAGAAACAAGGAGTAATTAAACTGAATATACAAGTAGTAATATATTTGTAGGTACAGGGAGAGTCAACAGCCTGTATGAAACACCTCTTCTCCCTTGGAACTTCTTAAAGGAAACTAAAGCACAGAGGATGGGGGGATGGAGGGGCAGCCCCTGTCCCTGGGGATGCAGCAGGGAGTGGGGGCTGCAGGAAGGAAGGAAGGAAGGAAGGAAGGAAGGAAGGAAGGAAGGAAGGAGGGAATTCCATGGCCCAGGCTCTCCCAGCTTTACTGAGGTGTTGCAGGCACAGGAGTGACCCCAGAGCTCCGAGCACCTTCACAGGGGGGGCTGCTCTGCAGAGCCCCTGGTGAGAATCGGCCCCTGGGGCTGGGACAGGCCCTGCTGATGGCTCTGGATTCCACATCGATCCCTCACTCTGCAGGAACGACTCACCTGCTCTGCTGAGCGAGCTCTGATTGTTAAACATGGCCAGAAATGCCCAGTGCCTAAAGCCAGCCCTGCCAGCCCCTCCTGGGCAGCGGCTGCTGCTGGACAATGTTTGTTCCTGCTCTTCTTGCACCTTGTTTCTCGTCATGATTTTAAATATTAATTGATAGAAATGGCTTTTCACTCCCAAGGAGCAAATCCTGGGGAGTTTTGGGGTGGGTTCACTGCAGGTATGGCCCTGCATGGAGTGCTGGAGTGGGGCAGAGGAAAGCCCCACTGTAATTCTGCCTCGCAGTCTGTGCTGCCCCGGGACCCTTCACCTGTGCAGCACAGTGAGGCTGCTTGGTGCTGACTGAACATTTGACTGTTCTGCTTCTTTCCTGCAGATTTCCTCCTTCAGAAGTGCGGGAGCCTCATGCCCAGTGAGTGACTGCATTTCCCTGGACGCAAATGAAAACTCATGATGTGCTCAGGTGAGTGGCTTTTCCTGGCAGACAACAGCTGGACATGGACATGTTGCTATTTTTTTGGGGGGTTATAAAGGGAGAGAAACTATCACAAATCAGGGGGAAAAACCCAAACAAGCAAAATTTCCAAAGCCAGGCTTCCATGAGCCGCCACAGGAGCGGGGTCTGTTCTCTGTGTGGGTCCCAACACGGCAGTAAAGCAGAGCACAAGAGACTTGAAATGCACAAAAATGATCAGCTACAGCTACAGTTGTTTAGTTTCCCTTGAAGAAATAAGTGGATAATACAGATCTGGAAATCATAAGGCTGAGAACATTTTTCTGCATACTGCATAACAAAAGAACCCCTTTACATAAGACAGTAATAATGCCCATTAATGACTATATGGCAGAGTTTAATCCATGCATATGATTTAATAATCGCAGAAAAAAACATACAAAGAAAATAAAACCCCACATAAAAAAAACAAAACAAAAACAAAACCTGCTCAAGCATAATCAAAATTCCTTTTGCATTGCACTTTAGAAGGAGAGCTGCACCTAGAGCCAGTCTCCAGTATCCCAAACACACAAGGGCCAACCCCTGTATCCACAGACAGGTTCAGGTCATTGACTTGGTGTGACTGTTTCTTGCTCCCAACAGTTTTACATTGTCCCAGAAATTCCACTCCTTTCATATTTCTTCTTTTTTGTACCTAAAACATATATATGAACTTCTTTGTTAATGCTCACAGTTACTATAATGGTTACTATAATGGTTTCAAGCAAACAGCTCTTGTTTAAAAAAAAAAAAAAATCTCTCTAATGTACTGTAAGTAAATACCATAATTTTAGGATTGGAAGCCGCTTTCTGTCTACTGGGAAATAATTTTGAAGCTTACATAGTTTGCATTAATGTCCAAAAGCAAATAAAGATTACTGGAAATATGTTTCTTCTTTTAGAATAACTCTGGGTATGATGATGCATAGGGGGTTCTCTTTTTTTTCCTTTTTTTTTATTTTATTATTATTCTTTAAGGTAAAGAAAGTGTCAGCATTGCCTAGAGAAGATGCTGAGAAGAAAAATGAACTGGAAGGCACATCTGCAGCCCCAGATCACATTTTCACTTGCTTGAGCGTGTCAGAGGTGAGTGTTTATGGGTGAAAATTAATTTTCTCCTGATCAGTAAAGCACCAGCTTTATTTGTTAAGCACTTTTGGGAGCATCTCTGCTGCTCCCCAGCTTGGGTCATACACAGCCACAAAACCAGGTTCTATCTGAACCAGCAGCTCAGGGGGAATTCCTGCTCTGGGGACTCTGGACCTGCTGGATCCTCCTTTGCTTACAGGGACGCTGATGGGAGGTGTCAGTGGTGGCAGATTGGGTTCATGGTTTGCACAGCTGTTAGGGCAGAATCTCAAATGCTTGACATGTACATCTTAGAAACAGGGAATAAAATGCAGAGTAAGATTCTGACAAAGTGCAGGTTTTAAAAAAAAAAATATATATATATAAAAAACCTCAGCACCACCCCCAAGGCAGTGATGGTTTGCTGCATTGTATCCTGGGGCCACGGCTTGGATCCCAAAATTAAAGTAATTTCTCTTTTTAAAAACAAAAAAAGTTTTTTAAAAAAAGATGTAGGCTTATTCACAGCAGCAAAAATGTTGGTTTTCTGTTCTGTAGTATCCGACACTGCAACGTTGGACTCTCCTTGGGCACAGAAATCCTGACTGACAGTTCGGAATGGAAGCAGGGAAATACTGAATTCATGGTAAGATGGTGCAACAAGATGAGTTTTCCAGAAAACTGAAAGCTGAAGATTTCAGAATGACTTCAACACACGGATGTCTCTGCTTTGTTCCTCTACCAACTGATCATCCATTTCCTTCCTTTCTTCTTTCTCTCTTTCTTTTCCCAAGGCTGACGTGCTCCTGGGTGAAGTCTCTGAACACGGGGGGGTCTGTGGGGCTGGGCTGGGGCTCTCAACCCAAGCCCTTCTGCTCCCCTCATCCCCTGCACACTCCTCCAGCTTCCCTTCTTCCTGTGTCCAGGGCAGGAAATGGACATCATTCATTCTAAGGAAAAAAATCAACTTGGAAAAGCACTCGGAACTTCTCCTACGCCCACGTGACGGGATGGGACCGCGATGGCTTCTGAGATGGCTGGAAAACTGCTCCTGACATGGATGGCATCATCACCAAGAGGGGCTTCTGCACAAAGAATCCCAAAGCCTATAAAGTCATTAAAAATTGTGCATCGAAGGTTTTTTATTTTTTGTCTTTTTTTTTTTTGTTTTGTTTTTAAAGGTTCATTATAAAAATCTTGTTAATTTTTTTTTTAATACCAAGTCTGTGTAATGAATTCTTTTAAATAGCTTATAAGAAAAGTCGGTTTGTTTTTAAATTCCAAAATGTTCCAACAGGCAGGAGAACACAAAGCCACTGCCGTGCTCACCTTGGACTCTGGGTTCAGCTGGACCACACTGCTTTGCTTAGAGTTTGCCAGTAGAAAATTTGCTGTGGACTTAAAAGTATTTTTGTTTACAAACACTTTGTGTTTTCTAGGCACAGTAAGATGTTGTGCTATATGGATTGGGAAAAAAAAGAGGCGGAATTCAGTGCTTCTGTTCTAGAGAGTAACAACATTTGCCTTCCAACTACTGAGAATCCATATTCCTAAAGTGTGTGCCAGGACACCGCTACTCACACGTGCACTCCCAGTCCCACTCTCTCCCTCCCTGTGCTGGGGATGAGGGGTCAGTTCTCCATGGGGCTCGAGGTGCTCTCACTGCTGGGCTGGCTGCTGGCTTTGGGCCACAGCTGTTCCTGAAGTTCCTTGACCACCTTCTCCAGGTGCTCCCGGGCCTCCCGCTCGTGCAGGAGGTCGGCACGCAGCTGCTCCCGGTCGGCCTCGGCGTGCTGCAGCTTCACCTGCAGGTCCTCGATCTGGGGGACAGGCAGACAGACAGGGCTGTGGGACACAGACCTTGCACTGGCCAGGGGAGCAAACAATGTCTACTCCACACATAGGATTATCAAGATAGAGGTAAGGAAGGAATTCCCTGTTCCCTTTTTCCATGCACTGCTGCAGCACAGTGCCTGCTTAGCTTTGAAACCTAAACATTCCCACTGAGTCCAGCTCCAGAAAGGAAGGTTAAGAAACAGCTCAAGAATTCCTTAGTGCCACAGAATCTGGTCACTTCTTCAAGCATGGCTGTTGTTTCTTTAGGCAGTGACAGCAGCTCAGCAAAGCAAACCCCAGGTGTTGACACAAGGGATTCACTTTCAGCTCCTTTACAATAATTGTTAATGGAAGTGACCAGAAAGGGCCTTGGCTGCTGATGGGCCAGGCCTCCCCAGCTATGGATTAAAGCCCTGCAGTGTCCCCACTCTGCTCCCAGCAGCACCTGCAGCTGCCCTTGGCCTCCCTGACCTCCCTGCTTGGTACTTGCTGACAGAAAAGGCAGAGAAAACCCCCAGGACCAGAAGGTGCAAATACCAGAAACAGCACCCAGTGAGAAAGGAAATGCCAGCAGTCATCAAAGATTGCCACTTAACAAGGAAGGGAAACCTCCAATGTTTTGGGCTAAAATGCAGGTAAACCTCCCCCATCCATGTTTGGATTTCAGTATCAAGGTAAGAAAAAGGAGGGCATAAACCACAGCTCCTCAATGGGCATTAAGCATCTAATACTTTAAGCCTACACAGAGGCATTTCCACCCTGGCCTGATGCTGTTTCTGTCAGACTGAGCCTGTCTAGAGAACTGCGGTTTCCTCAAAAATAATTTGTGACCAACTTCCGCTTGCACCCCAAGCTGTAGCTACAAGGGTGTGTAAAGCTTTATTTTAAAATTTCTCAAGACTTTAGAACTTGACACCCCTGAGCCCCCAGGCCAGCCCAGGCCGTGTTCAGCTGCCCTGGTGCTGCTCCCCAGGGCCCTGGGGGGGGAACGCCCAGCGCAGCAGCCCCAGGGAGGCTCTGTTTAGTCTGGACACCCCTTATCAGTGAGACATCCTGTGATGCTGAGAGGAAGCCCCACATCATTTCCTGCTCCTGGCCAGACGTGTCTCAGCGGGAGCAGGCGGCCACTCCCCTTCCCCTTATCAGAGCCCTGGAGATTGTGAGCTTGGCTTCTGCTCTTCCCTCCTCCCTTAAAGCCACCACACCAGGGACCTGCAGCTCCCACCTCCAGGAGCACCTGTGTCTCACCACAGCCTGCTCCAGCACTCCTGGAACTCCCTCTGCCATGAGCTTTTCAGGGCTGAGTTAAACTATGTAAAGTACTTGAAGGACATATAAATACACACAAATTAAAGTTTGTTAAACAGAAGCTTTTGAGGACTATGAGGGAGCTACAGGGGCACCTCTGTGGCAGGTGCATGGGATGAGGTTAAATTCAGGCTCCATTTTTTGCCCTCCTGCCCTCTGTTATGCCTGTCCCAGCTCAGGAGCAGGGTGGGAGCAGCAGGAGGGAGCTGAGGAGCTGCCCCAGGCAGGGGAGAGAGCCAAGGAGCTGCTCCAGGCAGGGGCAGCAGGAGGGAGCTTGAGGAGCTGCCCTAAGCAGGGGGCAGCAGGAGGGGAAGCTCAGGAGCTGCCCCAGGTGGGAGCAGGAGGGAGCTGAGGAGCTGCCCCAGCCCTGCAGGGGACAGCAGGAGGGGAAGCTCAGGAGCTGCCCCAGGTGGGAGCAGCAGGAGGGAGCCCAGGAGCTGCCCCAGCCCTCAGGGCCTCACCTGTGCTGAGTACTTGGCCCGCAGCCGGCCGGCCTCGCAGCCCTTGTCGCACACGCGGATCTGCCGCGCCTGCTCCAGCTCCCGCTTCAGCCGGATCCGCGACTCGTTCGCCTCCTTCATCTTCTTCTCGTTCTCGGCCCGCAGGCGCTCGATCTCCTTCCGCAGGTTGCGCTTGGCCTCCGTCGCTTCCCTCAGCTTCTCCTTCTTGGCCACTCTGAGGAACTCCAGCTCCTGGACACAGAGGCAGGTGAGCAGTGAGTGTGAGGGAAGCCATCCAAGCCACGTTCCCACCTCCTGCTGCCTGTGACCGAGGCAGCCCAGGGCTGAACCCCGCTCTGAGCTCCGCACGAGCCCTTCTCCTTTAAATCCTGTGGAGTTCCTGCACTCCGGCTACCCCGAAGCCCAGGATAACAAAAAGCTCAGCGCTACAGCCCCATTTTGCTTTGTCAAGCAGAATAGCTGCGACCATCTGGGCCTGAATAAAGATGAACTGCAGTTGGAGAGAGCTCCAGCACCAGCTCCACATTCCAAACCACCCGACTGCAGTGCCTGGGCTGGAGCTGAAGGCTCTGAAGATGCACAACGTGGAAAGTGCAGTTCTGAGTGTCCTTTGTGTATGGAAAAGCTCAACAGGACATCAGAAATCAGCTCCATTTTATCAAGCCCCCACCCAAAACCCACTCAAAGCAAGGACAGAACACAAACTGTGTCTTTCCTAGCTCTGGGGTGCTGTAGGTGACTGGGGTGAGCCCCAAGACTCCTGACAACCAGCTCATGGACTGTTCTGTCACAAAAGCTGGAAAACTCCAGGATAAAACCTAAACCTGAATGGAAACACATTTTGCTCTGGAAACTGCCACTCCCCCTGTCAGGCTGGGAGCTGCTGCCTTGGAATCTCAAACCCATGAGGGAACCATTAATTTCATGGATAATGATAAAGAACCTTCAAGGAACAAAGGAAGAAGCCCCTAAGCTGTTAAAATACATGTTCACAGCAAGCACAGAGATGTGGCTCACGTTTCCTAAAGGGTTAAATTAGAAACTAAAGATCTATTTTTTCCCCCAGAAGCAGCATTTCCTCCCTGCCCGAGTCAAACCCTCCAGCCCTGCTTGCTGTGAAGTTGCACTGCAGGGTCATGGGAAATTCACTCTTTTGACAATCTCACTTCCCAGCCAGGCTGGAAGTGAGCTTGGCCACGCCTCTGGAAATGCACACACAGCCCCTGGAAGTACCCACATACACACACAACCCCTGGAAATACACACAGCCCCTGGAAGTACCCACATACACACACAACCCCTGGAAATACACACAGCCCCTGGAAGTACCCACATACACACACAACCCCTGGAAATACACACAGCCCCTGGAAGTACCCACATACACACACATTATGCATAAATGTTTACTTTTAAATACATAAAACACAGATTTTGCTCAGGGTAACTAAAAAAGAGAGCATCACTGCAGGTTTTGTGTCTCAAACCAGGCGCTTATTTACTCCACCCCATGGATTCCAGCCCCAGCTTGGGACCAGCTCCACACCAAATATTCAAAGAGGACACACAAATCTAAGCTGGCTCCCCCTCTATTTCCCTGCACTCTTTTTACCCCAGCTCAAATAAAAGGCAGTTCCCCCATCACTGAGCTCAGGCCTGCCCTGCAGTCCTGCCTGACCATGGACACACTGATGGATCCAGGAATTCCAGAAATAAGGAGCTGCTTCCCTGCCTGAAGCTCAGCAGTGGGATGCCTGACAAAGCCCTTACTTCAGCTGTGGCTGTGTCCCAGGAACACCCTCCCTCACAGAGCCTTTAAAACTCCAGCTAAAGCCTCCAGAAATGTTTCCTGTTCAGTGAAATGAAAACAAAATAAACTCTGCTGGACTAGAAGATTTTTTCAGTAATGAAAAGATGTTGATTTTGGTAACCATGGATTTATAACCCAAGGAAAAACAGGTGGCAAGCTTAAAAACATAAGACTGGTTCCTGTGCTTTGGTTTCCCGGCTGGATTTACAAACAGAGCCCCAGCAAAGGCTGTTGCTATTTGGGAAAAATGAGGCAATTCCTTTTTCAGAGCTGCCTGCTGGGCTGTACCTGGCAGGGCAGGGCAGGGCAGGGCAGGGCAGCCTCACCTGGTGCAGGCTGCGCTTGGCCTGCAGGGCCGCGTTCAGCTTCTCCTCCTGCTTCACCCTCATCTTCACCACCTCGTGCAGGAACTTCTCTTTGGCTTCTTTGGTGTCCAGGCCACTGTCCAGGGCCTGCCTGAGGTGCTCCAGCTCAGCCTCCAGCCCGCTGCTGTGGGGGTCAGGGTGTGCAGCCACCTCGTAGGAGCTGTTGACGGGGGCTGGGGGCTGCATCCCAGGGGAGCTCATGTCCTTGGCAGAGCTGGAGGAGGTGAAGGATGGGGAGGAGAGCGAGGATAAGGAGGAGGTGACTGGAGAAAAGGAACATTGAAAATTAATTTTAAAATGTCAATAATTAAGACGTAATTATATACAGCTCGTATATATATTATACAGCTCCAAATGTGCTGAGGCCCTTTTGTACAGAGACACTTGATAATCAATTTTAAATAGGAAAGGAAATGAAAAACCTGCTCATTTTGTACTTTGATACTTGAAAAATGATGAAAATGCAAACTTGACTTCAGGGACTGAGTTCAATTTGTTTGAGCTGTGACTGTGCAGCTCATGTCACAAAGGTACCATGGAGGCACTGGGCTCCCACAATTCCATTTAAAGCTCATGAAACTGCACAGGAACCCCTGCAAAAACCCCAGCCCAAATAAAGGCAGCCACAACTGTCACTTACATTCTTCCCTGGTTTCTACTTCAATCTCTGCTTCCGACTCCTTGTCCTCCTCAGGGGCTGTGCTGGCCGCGGTGCTGGCGGCGCTGGCGGCGGCCTCGGGGGCGGCCGAGTGCTCGGGGCCGTGTTTCCTCTTCCTGGGCTGCCCCACGCCCGGCCCCTCGCTGCCCCGGGACACCACCGTGGCACAGGGGGGGTTGCTCACCATCTTCTGCTGGGCTGGAGGGGCCAGCGCCACGTTGGGCGCCACGGCGCTCTCAAAGCTCTTGTAGGAGTAAAAGCTGCGTTGGGGGAGGCAGGAGGAGGAGAAAAGGGTCACAGTCCTGGCTTTGGAGAGCTTCCCCTCCAAACACCACAGTGAATCCCACTGATTTCCACCGGCTGAGAACCAACCCATGGCACTGCTCAGTGTTTTAGTCCCTCATTAAACCCAGGGATCCCATCCCAGGAGCACCAAGGAGATGAGACCTCCCAGAGCCTAAAAGCCCTAAAGCTGCTTCCTCTGCTCCTCATGGTGCTGTTGTTTTAACCAACGGCACAGCTGGACTTTCATCTCTCCATAAATGTTGTGTAAACTCAAACCAGCACTTCCTTAAGGAAGACCATGGAGTGGAAAAGCATCTTCTTGTGCCTGTGATTCTGACACACACCTGAGTGTCCATGTGTAAAACCACAGGTACAACAACCAGCAAACCTTTGGTTAAACCCTGGTGTTAAAGGGGAGCATTAACACCCTGGTGTTAAAGGGGAGCATTAACAAAATTCCATTAAATACATGGAATTTTGCAAAAAGCAAAGCAAAGACTTTGCAACTTCAATTTAGCACCTACAGCATGATGTGGTATCAGATAAAATTTCTCCTGGAGCTGTTGTAGGTGGGTTTTATCCAATACTGAAATCAGCCAGATTTCTCACAGGAATACCAAGGACACTTAGACCACTTCTCTCCCTACCTAGTTTAAAAATTAGGATATTCTGATAGGCTTTTTCCCTTTTATTTTCCTTTTTTAAAAACCCAATCCCCACAGTTTCTAAGAAACTTATTCATAAGGGCAGCACAATATGTTCTCCATAACATTCCCTAAAAACACCTGGTCACTGAAGTCAAACTTTCCAAAGAAATCATCACCCTCAGGCAGAAACCTGGCTCGGAGCTTTTCAGACTGCCCAGCTCCAGTCTGGCACAGGGATGTTGAACTGCCCTGACACTTTGTGCTCTCAGTGTGACACCAAGGTCCCACCTGCGGGGGGTGACTCACTCAGGGCTGCTCCTGGCCTGGGTGTCTGGACAGGTCTGACAGGCTGAGGAGCCAGATCCCTCCAGGGCACACAGAGGGGTTGGGGAAATCTCTGAGAGCCAGGAACCCCAGGGCACACAGAGGGGATGGGGAAATCTCTGCTGCCCTTTGGCCTCCCTGGCACGGTGGGGAGGGAGGGGATGGAGCTGGGCTGGGACAGGAGCTGGTACCAGGGACAGGGGCCTGGCATTGGCTGCACCTCCCTGACCCTGCCCAGGACCTTCAGTGACTGCCCCCCAAGTGTCCACCCCATCTCAGCAGCCTCCACCTGACATTTCCATGGCAGGTGCCACCTTTAACCCTTCACGCACAAACCAGCGACGCTTTTTGTGTTTCCTTTCTGCAAACGAAACCCTGCAGCTGCCAACGCCCTGACTGAGCACAGGGACAAAGCCAGGGGCAGCTGGCACCCCCTGTGCTGTCCCTGTGCCCTTACCTGTCCCGGATGAGGGCGGGCAGGTGGCTGGAGAGCTCCTTCTCGCTGGCTGACACCGCGGGGGACCAGGGCCGGAAGGCGGAGAGGCGCTGCCGGGGGTGCACGCAGCCGATGCTCTGGGGACAGGCAGGACATCAGTGACCCCAAAAACCTCTGAGAGCATCAACCCCCCCAGAGGGGACCTGGGGCTGCCCAGGGCACCCTCAGTCATCCCCACAGCTGCTCTCCACTGGCCACGACCTCCTTGCTCAGGGGTTCTGCTGGCCAACGAGCTCTGTGCAGTTTGGAGGGATCACAAAGAGCTACGAACCCACACAAAGAGCTACAAACAAATCCTGAGCCTTGCAGGGTTCCTGTACCTCAAAGGCACAAGGGAATTCCTGACTTCCCTGGCACAATCCAGGTCAATGAGCACTGGAGGGTGACAAGGAATCTGGGGGGACTGTGTAGCTCAATGCTGACTAGGGAAAGGATGGAAATGTTACTAATTTAGAAACCCTGGGCATGTTCTTTCCCTCATTTTCTCCTCTGGTCTCAGTAGTGATGCTTTGTGCATCTCTCTTGATGACAAAATATTCAACAATCACCTTATTGGATGAACTGGATAAGGACCGTAACCAACTGGACTGTTTTTCCTTCTCAGAAGAAGCTGGAGATTGGGAAGCAGAGTCATCTATTTTGGGTTTTTTGGAAGCAGGAGGATCTGAAGAGACCTGAAACAAAAGCAGGAAAAATCAAAGTCAGATTCCTCATTTTGCAATCAGCTTAGAAACAAGTTCTAAAGCAAAAGCAAATTTTGTTATTTAGAAGGAAGAAGCTCTGGGTGTTTTTCTTCTTTTCTCAAATGCAAGGCCAAACAAAGGAGTGCAAACAAGGGGCAGACACAGACTGCGACATAACACACTTCACTCCTCCATGGGAGACGCTGGGGTCAAGTGTGCATGGCACAGCAGAGATGGGCAGTGATCAAAGGGAGACACTGCTCCAAGCTGAGGAGAACTATCAGCCTTTTATGATTTTTGCATGCAGAAAGGTAAGTTTAATGTGGTTGCTGAACTGGAAAGATTATTTTAAACGAGAACAGAACAGACTTTGTTATTCTGTTTGCAGTGGTTGTTATGCCGATGACTTCACTACCCCACAGCTGCAGTGGATTCTGGGGGTGCTGCCAAGAGCTGCTTTGCCTTTTCCACAAGTGGCTCAGCTTGGCCCATAAATCATCCTCAAGCATAAGAAAGCCCTTTGGCAAGCAAAATCCCTTTCCTTCAACACTGTGAAGGAATAAAATTCCTATAGTCCCAGCGTGGCTTGCAAAAAAATTGGTAACTACTGGTTTAACTGGTGCACTGGGGATACCAGCTTGAAGGGCTGCCAGTACAAACACCTCTCACAGCAGGGAGGGAGAAGGTTCTGGACCTTTTGCTGCATCACGACCAGAAACAATAAAAGAAACATCCCAGCCCTGTTTCTATTCCTTTTTGTGTCTTTTTGCAGCTCTCCACCTTTCCCCATTCCCACTCAGCCTGGCTCCCAGAAGGGTGGCACAGCCACCCTGCAGTCATTAATAATTGCTCATATTTGCATTCATTTGTCTCATCACTGTGATTTTTGTGGGCAAACAAGTGTTGATCCAGGTGTGTCTGGAGAACCTGGGCTGGCAATATCCTGGGAGCCTGAAATGCTCCAGCCCAGTGACGGGAAGGACCTCATTTGCCAATGTCCTGTGCTCTGAAAATCAGTCCCCTCAAGGCACCTTCAGCTGGGAACTCAGAGAGTGCTCCTCCAGCTGCTGCTGAGCCCTGAGCACTGTGATTTAAATGATTTACCTGAAAAGCACCTGCAGAACTGCCCAAGTGCCCTTCTCAGGGCTCCCTCCTTGCCAAGAGCTCTCTGACTGCACCCCATCAGTGCCCTGATCAGGAGGGAGTGACACCCTCGGCCCCTGCAGAGCCTGCTGCTCCCGTGGGAGCAGGGCAGAGCCCTGTGCAGCCCCTGCCAGCCCATCTGGCACTGCCCTGTGTGCCCTGCCAGCCCAGAGTGCCCAGCAGCGTCACCCCCCAGGCCTGCAGGGCTCAGCACAGCATTCCCTGGCACGGGGAGCCTGGGGCAGCTTTCCATGCACAGCAGATGAAGGAGGATGACACGGGAGGGCTGGGGGGGTGTGTGTGCAACCCCCAGGACAAAATTAGCCCGTGCCAGTGCCAAATTCCAGCTCCATGGGATTTGCAGCAGATTCTCTGGGCACAGCTTCAGGCTTCCCCAGGGCTGCCCAGCCAGGGCACGGGCCCTCCCCTCACACCCAGCTAGGAAAGGGCATTCCTGGGCCCTTCTCTAGAAAACACAGCACAAAGCACTGGGAGAGATTTGGTTTTGCTGGGGAGATGCTGCCTGTGCAGTCAGTGACTGCATGGGAAAGGCATTTGGCAGGGGCTGCTGATCCCAGCCCATCCACCGGGGATGGGGAGCTGTGTGGGGAGGGGACTCGGCCTGCAGGCTGGGGAGGAAGGGGGGCTTGGAATGGAAAAGGCAACAGGTGGCAAGACTCAGCATGGAAGCCATCCCTCCCTCCCCACGTCCGTCCGTCCGTCCGTCCTGAACATTCTGTCCAGGCAGGAGCAGGAGCAGGACAGGCCCCAGGCTGGGCCCAGAGCAGCCCCCCAGCACCCCCAGCTCTGGGAATGGGGAGCAGGGACAGCCCTAGACAGGCTGGGGAGATGTCTCAGAATGATCTCCTTTGCACTTTTAAAGGAATTCTCTCAATCTCTCTCCACTGTCCCCCTTCTTTCACCTTCAGGGCTGACCCCAGGACAGGAGGGGCTGAGCACCCCTGGGAAATGCTGCCCCAATTCCCTGCCCAGGAGCTGATCTGGAAACATGGGGTGCACTGGAAACAAGCAGCAAAGGAGGGGAGCACACAGGGGAAACCAGGGCTGTGCTCCCCCAGAGGTGCTGAGGTTTTCCTGCCCTGGAATCATCTCCCACCCCAGCACTCCTGGGAGCCCAGAGCTGGAGCAGCACCCCAGGCACTCAGGGTGCTGTGAGCGAGGTTTGGAGCTGCTGTGCTCACTGCTCCAACCCCTGTCCCACCTGCATTCCATGGATCATTCCATGTTTGAGGCAGAATTGCCTCTTGGCAGATGCTTTAAAAAACCCACCTTGGATTTAGGTTTCACTTTAACAAGGTAAAAAATGCACCAATTCCAGCAGTTTCTGCTACAGGAAGAGACTCAGATGTGGAACAAGGCAGACACTGAGCACCAAATCTGCTCTCCCTGTGACTCAGCCATTACATCCCACTGCAGGACATATTCCAGGCACCAAATACCCCACTCTGACACTTCCAGCCCAGCCACAGCAGCCAACAAACCTTGGGACTGTTTCAAATGGGGATGGTTTGATTTCATTTCTTCCTCTGTGCCAAATAATGAAACACACACCAAGTTGCAAAAGAAATACTGAAAATCTGATCTAGCTTTTTTGCCATCTTCATAAACGATTTATGAAACACTCAAACAAAAACTCCAAAAGACTGAAATAAATATTTCCTTATTTCCTATTCATTTTTATTTCCATTGGAGGCAATTTAATAATCTGCTGTCAAATGGGCTTTGTGCTGGACACAGCCACTTGTTAATAAACATTTTCTCCAATCCACAGATGGAACAAACTTCAGGATACAAAGTGGGCCCAGAAATGCTTACATGAAACATTTACTTAAGCTTTGGGACTGTTGGTTTCTGAAGCAAAATTTAGGGGGAAAATAGATACGGAAAGATTTATACAGTCACTAAAAAAAGCTTTCAGAGGTGCATTCCAAAGGGAAATTTGGGCCTGTGAACTTTGCAGCCATTTTAAGGCAAACCGAAATGAGGCGGCTCAGCTTGGCCTGCAGCCAGCCAGGGCCACATTTGACATGTCAGATCAAATTTTCTACTTCAATTAAATATTACAGTAACAAACCATGAGACCAGTGGAAAGAATTTTTGACCCTCTCCTTCTCAGGAAGACAAACCTTCCCTGGAGCTCAGCACCAGGAGCAGAACCAGCAGCTGCAGGTCAGGCACCTCAACAACACCTTTTGCTACAAATGCGATGGAAAATGAGCCCAGAAATAATCTTATATTTGAAGATGTGGGAGTGCTCACAGGTATGATTCTGGGTGCCCTAGTGTCTACCAAAATACATTTCCTGAATAATTCACTTTTATTTCCCCCGCTGTATCCCAGTGTCACACATCTGGACTGAGCAAAGGCTTTTGCTCCCTCCTCATCCTTTGCTTCTCTGCCCCAAACACACAACATGTGGTACTGAGAACTGGGCTGCTTTTGCCATCACCAAATGGAAAACACTTAGGAGGCCTCCATACCTCTGAAGTTTTAGCTTGGAAATGTACCTTCAAAAATCAGCCCATGCTCCAAATCCTCCCCTACCCTCTGCTGATGAAACCTCCCCAGCCTGGGTCTGAGCTGGGCAATAAATCCCAAATCCTGGTTAAAGACAGGGATGTGGTAAAGCAGGGCAGTGACACAGGTTTGTCCGAGCTGGACATCCTCCCCAGCCAGGTGTGGCCGCACTTTGTGGGAATCCATCCCTTGGCTCATCCCCTCCTTCAGAACAGGGACGGGAAATGTGGGCCCTGAACTTCATTTATTTCTTTAGAAATAAAAGATTTCATGTCCCCAAAGCTACTGAGCTATCCCAACCCAGAGAAATCTGCAAAATTAATTGGCAAAATACTGCAAGGCTGCAGAATTCCATTTCGTATCCTTAAGGCAGGTGTAGATCAGAAACATTGCACTGCAAAACCCAGCTGGAAAGGCAGGGATAAGCAGAGAAAAGACAAAAACTGGGCTGTAAATGTGGTGTCCTCTCCCTGTGTCGTTGTCACCCGGGCTCAGGCAGCCTCAGCCCAGCCCGGGTGGAGCTTCCTGTCCCCGCCTGGGCTCGGAGGCTCCGCCGCGTTCTCAGCGGGGCAGAACCGCCCGGGCTGGGCTGTGAAACCCCGAGAGGGCCAGGCAGGCCCTGCTGGGGGGAACAGGCCCGACAGCCCGGGCTGGAACCACAGCACAGCAGCCCTGAGCCAACAGGAGCCCCCTGTGCCCCCCAGGAGCACAGATCTCTGCATTTCGTGGTGCTCTGAGCTCCAGAAAACACCTGAGCAAGCAGTGTCTGAGCCTGTTCCTGCCCCACGAAGGGCACGGTGAGAAATGCAAGTGGAAGTGAGGAAGAGAATTTCCAGGGTCTGTTCTGGGTGGCTTTCCTGGGTCACTTGGTGAGCACAGAGCAGTCACAGCAGCTGAGCAGCAGACACAGGATGGGAACACCACTGACCCATTTTGAAAGGCTGCCATGACATTTATCTCCTGCTTTGCCTTGGAACAGAAGGATGCAGAGTTTTATTTTAAGCCCAGGGAAGTGCTGGCTCTGAGTGGCCACTCCTCCTCCCAGGACACGTCTTTCAGGCTCCTGCTGGCACAGGGATTAAGAAGTTCCCCAGTTGTGTAAATGGCATTTCAGAAGGAATGTTCCTTGACCAGTGACAAGGATTCAGATCTGCTTCTGGAGGTTACTGAGACCACAATTCCCACACCTGGGAGCTGAACTTGGAATTTTCCACGTGCTGCTCTCACAAATCACAGCCCTGAGTCTCCCTAAGAGCCACACGAGAAGGGAGAGGGCTCTGACAGATTCTTTCAAATTTCCAGTTAAACTC